TTAGTTTCTAGACATGTTGCTTTACTTTGGTTTCTTTTCTAATGAAACTGATGTTAAACAACTTACCACAAAACTAACTATTAAGCAACATATCAAAAAACTAATTTAAAAAAAATTGAAAGAAACTAATTCCAAATGACAAAGAAATGAAAGTAAAGCCACAAGTCAAAAAACTAAATTTTAAACAACATATCAGCAAAGAAGATGGAAAGCAACATAATAAGAAAGTGATGAAAGTAACATATAAGATAGTAAAGTAAAGCAACATATGAAGAAATTACTGTAAAGAAATAAATATGAAACTATGAAGAAACTAAACATAAAGTAACACACCAAGAAACTAATGTAAGGCAACATATCTAGAAACTAAACATAAAGTAACATATCAAGAAACCAAAGTAAAGTAACATATCTATTGTTTGAAATTAATTTATCAATATGTTTAATTTTAGTTTCTTGATATGTTTCTTTACATTAATTTCTTACATGCTGGTTTTTATTTAGTTTCTAGATTTTTTGCTTTCTATTACTATCTTGACATGTTTCTTTACATTACTTTCTTGATGTAGTGCTTTACATTTAGGTTCCTGATATGTTGTTAAAAATTAATTTCTTGATATATTGCTCAATGTTAATTTCTGAATATGTGGTTTTACATTTATTTTCTATATGGTTTTTTATGTTAATTTCTTTATGATATTTTATGTTAGTTTCTTCCTATGTTTTTAACATTAGTTTCTTTATAGTTAATTTTATATGTTGTTTAGCAATAGTTTCTTGATATGTTCCTTTATATTAGTTTCTTTATGATATTTTGTGCTAGTTTCTTCCTATGTTTTTAACATTAGTTTCTTTATAGTTAGTTTATTGATATGTTGTTACATATTTAATTTCTTAAAACAACTGTAATCTTTTTCAGCATTTTACTGTTTTCATGAACTACTTTTATGGCAAAGTAGTTTACATATTAAATATATTTGTCTAATACTAAGCAAAATAAAGAAACAGATTGACATTTAGCTGTCTACTCTGTGTTTTTCATAATGAAGACATAGTTTAACTTTTTTCAAGATATAACTAGGTTATGTTGTGTTATTATTATAGGACAGCCCTTGAAACTGTTGATCATCTGTCAACAACACTGGACTTCACAGAGTTTGCTTCAAGAATAATTCACCCCTTAGTTAGGACATTGGACTCGACACCTGATCTGCGTGAAGTGAATCTTTTTCCCATATTTTGTTTTCATAATGTTAATTTACTGTAACTTCAAAATAAAGTGAAAATATTTTTGTAAACAATATTATCAAATAATTGTAATTTATGCTTTCAAAATTTTCAATCATTTATATTAGTATCTTTTACAAAATATGTTTAAAGTATTTATGTACAAGCATTACAGGCCAGATATGTATCCCATAAAAAATAATATTTAAAATAATGAGTTATGTTGATAAAGACTTTTTCTGTTAGTATCTAATTATTGGTTATGTTTTCTGAACACATTTTTACTTTAAATAGGTACTTAACCATAATCACTTATTTTTACAGGATGCTATGAACACACTTTGTGCTGTGGTGATCCAGTTGGGAAAGAAATATCAAATTTTCATCCCAATGGTTCATAAGGTTTTGACTAAACATCGTATAAGTCATCAACGCTATGATGTTCTTGTTTGCCGTATCATTAATGAAAATCTGAGAGCTTCAAATCAATCAACATTTTTCATTTTAATTTTTTTTCATAGAATCAGATTGTATTTTCACAATAAAAAACAAACCCTGTCAGTGTTTTGAATTTTTAACTTTGAATTTATTTTGTATGTTGAATGTAGCACTGGTTCAAATTAGATGTTTGTGATGTCAAAATACTAAGTATAATTTCGTATGACTCACAAACTCAAATTAAGGATATTGACAAGCTAGAATGTAAAATAATAACCTCTTATTTTTTTCTATTTGCTAAGATATTTCTCTTATAATAATTCAAACACATTGGCATCCCACCCACCTCTTTCCATTTTTGGAAATGCTCCCTTATATACAGTTCTATATATGACATGATTAACCAATTCAAAACTCAGAATGTCCCCCTAGTGGCTTTCTTGGCCATTTTAAAGTCTTAGGCTGCCATGTCTTTCTTTTGAATCAAGATTTCAAGGAGATAGGATGTCTCTTTAGTCTGCTTGTAATTTCATATTTTTTTAGACTAAAATACAGCTTAGTTATTAAGTATGAACATTATAGTGGAATTCTATGGTATTGATGTAGTAATTTATGATTTTTTAGTTATTCAAATGTAAAAAAAATTATTTTGTTTCATATTCTCCACCTGCAAAATTTTTAAAGGCTTAGCAACCTATGTCAAGCAGCAACCGAGTACAAAGGTCATAACTAGAAGAGATAATTGTTTGCTTTACTTCTTTATTTACTATTCTACGTTTTAAGAAAAATATGTTTAAAACCTTATTTCTAAATAGCAATAATCTGCATACATATATAATGTATAATAACTGAAACGTGACTGTATTTTACAAAATACTAGTCTACTAAAACACAGCCAAGACAGATCACTTTTTAAAGACTAAAGGTCAGTTTTATATTATTGGATACAGTAACATGAGTGCACCTGTGCCACATCATTGTAACTTCTGTATTGTTAGCCTGAACTCAGCAATAGCATCTTTCAAGTTGTAGGCAAAATAACTAAAAATCTCTACTGAGGGGTGATGTAAAAATAGAAGATGGGCAGCTTAGAGTGAAAAA